CTCCCGACGCAACACCCCTTGATGAGAGCTAATCGTTAAGCACGTAATGACTGGTCCCTAGGGAACCAGTGGGTGCTTTCCACTGCCAAAAATTCCTGAAATATTGGTTGGAGATCAAATGGAAAGGTCCTTTTCTGTCTGGTCCATCTGGAATATTCGGTACCACCTCTGGATGTGGTCCACTTTCACCGGTCAGACCGGTCAGACTGAAATTTGCCATTCCTTTTTGAAACCCGTTCATTGCCCTACTTCTCTTCAGTAGATTTCACTTATGTAGGGATTTCTGGAAAGGAATAAAAAATGGTAGATAACCATACAGAGATTCCAACCCCTTTTGAAGGAAAATAGGGAGACTCTTAGCGCTGAAGGCGCCAGCCTCTAGGGGGGTCCAGGGCCATGTCCACCAGGAAAAATGGAGTAAGACTGCTGGCCTGATGAGTCTGCACAACACGCAGTGAGAGACTGGATGAGATAATATGAGAAGAAAGTGTAATGCATCGCAAAAAAATACTTAAGATCAGCATTTCCCCCTTGTTTTCACAATTTTAAGATAAATCAGGAGAATTTGATAAGAATCGGGAGAGCAGGAGGCAACGCATCAAATCGGGAGTTTCCCAATCAAAGCGGGAGGGTTGGAATCTTTGACCATAATCCCTCTTGGTTGGCCCGGTGTGATCGAAAAATGTTGTTCCATTTTCCTCGGGTAGTTCCACTGGTCTCCTACCTTCAAACTTCAAATAACAGCAACTTAGTTTTGGCATTTGTTTCGTACATGTATGGGGCATGTATCAGAATTGTTGGCCTGTGCACATTTTCCATGATGAAGCAGCGGACCTAACAGACTATGTTGTCTTTTATTGCCACTACTGAGAAGTCATCAAGGCAAACAAGTAAATAAATGTTATTTGCTGTTCCACTTTTTAAAGTGATGATGGACCAATCAACATACAACTCAGGTTATCTGACTACAAATCGGCATAGCCCTCTACAGACTAAACATGTTTGTGTGGAGAACACGAAGGAAGGCGGTCTTCGTCATGAAATCTTGTTCATTAGGATCAAAACTGCCCCAGATGTATTCTAAGGGACTGTTTGAAAGTTTGTCTTGACAATAAAACCCTTCAACAACGTAAGTCTTCAGAACTTGCAGACAAATGAAAAATCAAAAAATGGAGAGAAACAGCTCAATGTAAAACGCAGACTGTATATCACTTAAATAATGCTCCGTTTAGCATGTTTACAGTTTGTTCTCATTCCATTAAAAAGTCTAGTCTGCAGTCCACATTTTACCCTTAATGGACACTTTAGGCCCGGTCTGTAGTCTGCAGTCCTTACCTTACACTGACAGAGAGACGAACACCATGCTGATTTTGTAGTGATACTTCATGTATGTGACAGGAAATATAACAGGAAATATATAGCCTCAATCCTTCTGATTCATCATGACCTGTAGCTCTTTTTCATTAAGATAACTAAAACGATATTGATATTTAAACTTTTTTCTTGAACTTGCATAATTGAAATAATAGCAATAAAACTACAGTTGATTTACGTCACGACAGTTCAATTAAATAGAATTGCAAGGACAATGCAACAAGTACCAATGGTATAAAAAGCCTTCTGTAGTTCTGTATGAAGTGTATAGTAGCGTCCAAGTGTATAGTGGCCTATTGGGTGCTAAAAATGCACCTCGACACACACAGATTTTCAAAATTTTCCAAGGCAAACACCCCTCCTACCCCAAGTGACTTTGTTTAGAGTTGGTATCACGACCGGTAACTGGCTTCCCACATTGGCTTTTTAGTCATCTTATAAATGTTTTGCCATTGTATTAAAGTTAACAAAATCTTAAGACTGATGAGGTTGGGTTAAAACTGTTGATCTCAGGGAGGCATGTACATGTAGTTAGATCTGATGTACAGTAAGCAGGAAACAAATTGTACAATCTTGTTATTTCTTTGTTGTAAACAGTTCTTGTTGTTTTCCAGGATTTACCCAATGCAATGAATGCTGCTGAAATAACAGATAAGCTAGGCCTACACAGCTTAAGAAGTCGCCAATGGTACATACAGGCTACATGTGCAACAAGCGGAGATGGTTTATATGAAGGACTCGACTGGCTATCAAACCAACTTAAAAATTCAAAATGAGGTGGTTAACCAACTCTCATGCAATAAGTACTGTATGGGAAATACATTTAACAGGGATAATCCAGGAGCACTGGATTAATCCTGGTTTTATTTTCATAGACTTTAATGCTATTTTCGTTTAGTTTCCTGTGTTTAACTGCATTTTTGTTCCACTGCAAGACAATTTCAACAGTATAAAGCAGTAGCAGATGGGCCCAGGCCCCTACCTTTTCAGCAAAAATGTAACTTGTTTGCCAGTATGGATCTGCTGCTGATGTAGAAAAATTAATGATAGCATTTTTTAATAATTGTTATATTTACCTCTATTAAATTCCTAGCACGTATGTAGTGTAAGGTCTGTCGACTTGGCAAGTCACATATTACTGGCTATGAAAGTTTTGGTAGTTGTTTTGAAAGGTCACAGTTGCAATCTTGACCTCACTTTGATCGTATTTTCTAGTCTTGATTTAATCGTGGCAAGCAATAACAGGAAAACAATTTCTGCTGGTTTTGGTAACATAGCAGGTTGCAATGAAAAAAGATTGTACCATCTTTTGTAGCTGAGAAGGGAGTGAAGAAAATTTCAGGAAAGGGCAATCTTTCAATCTCTATCAAACTGTCTCTTCAGTTCAGGTTCCATTGACTGGAAGCTTAACTGGAGAAATGGAGAAGACATGTCTTTCTTTCTCCTGGCCACAGGAAATTATAAGATTACAAAAGTGACGTCAAGTTTCTTTCATCAATTGTACTATTTTCTTCAAATGATATGCACAAGTCTGTGACCATTGTTGGAACAAACACAAGCTTTAATTTTTAACTGGTGAAGTGCAATACGAAGTTGTATGAGTTGCAGTGGGTAGTTTAGTTTATGTAGGAGTGCTTTTCAAATTGCTTGTATAACTAGATTCAAATAATAAAACTTGTGATGAAGAGAACCTTGGAACTGACCACTGTTAATTAATAGTAGGGCTTTTGAACAAACAGAAATTTTACAAAAACTTGTGCTCATGTACAAGTATGTGTGTAACTAGTGAAAATTCACTTAGAAAACTCTTTATAGTTGCTGAATGAAATTGCTCCAGGCAGTAACTAAGACTTTGCTTGTAACCTTCCTTCTCTAAAGACTGGCATAAGTGAATTCTAATAAAATGTATTGTTCTCTTTAGCAGTAAGCATGTTTTTCTTGTAACAGTCAGGGACAAGTTTGGCAAACAATTCTTTAAATTACTTGTATTCAATAGAGTTGACTGTGTGAGCACTACATGCCATATTTCCATTTGTCTACAGTGTTAAATGCACTTGGACCAGGGGTGGAAGTCAACGACTGGAAAAGCAATTGATGTCAATTGATAATTAGTTAATTTCATTTTGTATCGAATGGTATTCCCACAAAAGGCCGTTCATAGATTGCTATCTTCTGGCAAAACAAGTCATACCCAGACTTCTCGACATGAAGCATTTGCCACGCTGCATGATCAAAGACAATAAGTTAGTAAGGTCTATTTTTAATGAGGGTAGCAGAAAATAGCATAAAACACTGATATACCAGTGGCCTTGCTAACATTACAGACCAGGTAAGAATAAATATAATATGGTGATGAAGACAATGTTTTGTCAGTTCATAAATAAATAGTAAATGGCCAGTCAGAACATTTTATATACTCTTAGTTTGGAGTAACATAAAATAATATTATGTCTATATCTTCATCAAATTAATATGATGTCTGTTTGCCTGTAGAAAGTTCAAAAGAATCTTCTCAAAAGTAATTTACAGATGTCACTGAACTGATAGCTTCATGGTTAGTGCACTTGACTCTGGATAAAGCGGTCCTGGTTTGAGCCCTGGCTGGGGACAATGTTGTGTTCCTGGGCAAGACACTGTACTCTCACAGTGCCTCTCTCCACCCAGACTGGCAAATTTAATTCAGGGGTAGCCTTGTGATGGACTAGCATCCCATCCAGGAGGGAGTAGTATAATTTAATCAAAATGAAATCATGTAATCTGAATCAGTAACAACAACCGAATCGCCGTCGATTTGTTTTCATACTTGTAGATGATGTCCATCTTTTTTTCTGTGGATGAAAAACCTCCACACTGTTCAGATAGTCCATTCCATTACAGCCACCAATGGCATACAAAAGGCCATCAATAACTGCCATGCCAACTCCACTACGAGGCACTTTCATTGGTGCATCTATTGTCCATACATTAGTTTCAGGATTGTACACCTCAACACTTTCTAAACTCTGACCATTACATCCACCAACAGCAAACAAATAACTGTTCAGTACTGTCACACCGACCATTGAGCGTGGAGTCTTCATAGCCGACACCAACTGCCACTGATCTGTCTGATTGTTGTAACGCTCCACAGAAGAGAGGTCTGATACACCATCATAACCACCTATAAAAGCAACATGATTTATATTCTTGTTACTGTAAAATATGGACCAAGATTTTCCCTGTCAATTATTTACAGTCCAAGCTTGTTTTAAAAAGCTGGGTTTATTTTCCGATACAACCATTCATTACTTACTGTTTTTACTCAATTAAGCGCCACCACCGAATAACTTAAACCCAGCTGGTTTAACAATAAGCTGTTATTTGGCGACAGTATTTGGGGAATTTTCAGTGCAAAAAAAAAGCAAAAATGCACCTGAAGAGGAAATGTGCCGCCACATGCACTTTAAAACATGCAAACCTGAAAAAAGAGCACTGCATATGGCGTGAGGGTTGGTTCCTTGCCTTTGACCTGTATTGTACTTACCAACTGCATAAAGGTGACCATTCAGTGATGCCACCCCAAGCATGCTTCGTGCTGTGGTCATTTCACAGATCATGGTCCACTCTTCGGTGCGTGGATTATACCTTTCGACTGTGTTGACAGTTGTCTGTCCATTATACCCACCCACAGCATACAGCAAGCCATTGAGGACACCTATGCCTACACTACTCCTGTGTTCAATCATGCTTGTGGTAGCAGTCCATGTGTCTGAACTAGGATCATACTGCTCTACCTACAAAAAAGGAAAGCCTCTTAGCAAGCTCAACTGGTTCACAGTTTCTGTAGCCTGCAGTGCAGAGTGTTTTAGTGGCAATTTTGCAAAATGTGCAGAGTGGGGATGAGTGAGAGAGGGTGGATGGGGGTGGAGCCAGAGGGGGTGGGGAAGAAGGAAAATTTACCTTTTCCTTTACCTTGGCATATGTTTCCCTCACCCCAACCCTGCACTGTTTACCGAAGTCAAGATGGAGGCCTACATGTAAACACTCTGTGCTGATATTCTCCCAATACAGCTCCTAGACACATAGATAGAACATGTAATGAGTAAGTAGATGGCTTTTCTGGTGAGGTAGACACTGGATAGGTATGTAGGTAGGGAAAGAGAGAGAGGAGTGAGGCAGTCATGAGTGTGTGAGACAGGAAATGAAGGTCCAGTGAGAAATTTGAGTGAACTGTGGCACATCCAAAAGAGGAGTACATACCAGAAACTAGTGAACCTACTCGATTTAAAGCAGCAATACCATCTGATCCACCCACGACATAAAGGATGCCTTCTAATATAGCTGCACCCAGACCTCGACATGGCGTCATCATGGGTGATACTTCACACCACGTGTCTGATGCAGGGTTGTATTTTTCCACAGTATTAACTGTACATCGACCTAAGGTAAGAAAATATTGGTAAATAATGCCTTGTTCAAGACAAGTTCCTTTTTTTTCCTTAAAAAACAAAGAAAAAAAAGAAGACCACTAGTGCCCTTACTGTGAGCCCTGTGTGCTTTCAGAATTCCAGTCCTTGGAGCCCCCCTCCCCTTCAGAATTCTGAGATGCTGCATGCCAGATTGTGAGAAATACTACTACTTCAGCAGAGTTGAACAGTGACACAACGGAAACACTGTCACATCTCCATTCATGGATACTTGTTGTAAATAAAAAATGCAAAAAAAAACTATGTGTCATCTCAAATGAAAATTGATCAAACAAAACACAACCAGACCGCAACTGTTAACACTCAACAACACTTTAACCCAAGCAAAGGTGTTTGTGAACACAAATTAAAAACTTGTCTTTTTAGCCCCTAGCCATTAAGCCTCCACCCAGAAGTCAAAAACACGGTCTATTTCTTTGTTCTTTAATACCATGTGTGAATGGGGGCTAATGGACTTTTGGTTGGGGGCTAAACAGCTACAGGCTAATTGCCTTGGGGACTGAGCAACCAGTAACCCCACTTGTGTTAACTTGTGACTCTGTTCGGCCGCATTTTCTTACCAGGATTTGTCTCTCCACCCAGCACATATATCCACTCTGCTTGGCCATACAGCTTCCGTGGCCTCAGTCGATTGCGCTGACTCATATTACTACGCAGCTGAGGAGACACGTGGTACATCCTGGCCTCTTCAAAGAGATGACAGCTCCCAGCATTACTTGTAATGAACCCATCATCCAAGACTTTTGTCACCAGAAATTCCCAGGCCATCAGGGGAAATCGAATTTGTTCCGCTAGCATGGGAACTGTTTTCATCCTGTCTTCCAAGCTGTACTTCATCCACCGCAAAGCAGCTTCATAAACCTCTTCTTCATGACGTACGTGTAACGCATCTTCATTTAACAGTTCAAGAACTTCTTCCAAAGGACACTGATAGAACTCTTCCAATTGTGTGACCTGATTAAAATTCCGTATTGCATAATCGTAAGCTATTGTACTGAGCTCGAGGCAACCGTGATTGTATGCAAAACGCCTTATTCCAAGACAATTAGAAGGATGCAGCTCGTGTTCTAAAAAGTAACAACATTTTTCCACCAGAGTCTCAACTTGCAGCAAACTGGCGACTGTCAACAGTGATTGTACATTGTCAACCGTAATGTTGACCCTCGCAACATAAGCAAACTCCACAACCATTTGAAAGGCCAAAGGATCCAAATAATTTAAATTGACGACTTCCTGTTTGCTCTCTGCGAGGTCACTCGTGAACATGGCATTGAAATATGGACTTACGGCAGCTAAAACAACACGGTGAGCCTTGATCTCTCTTTCTGCAACCTTCAAGACTACATCACAGAGCTCTTCACGTCTTCGTAGGTTTTCTAAAGCTGCAAGTACTGATTGAGCGTGCTGGACTCGCATCAAAAGACTTCCAGTCTCGCTGCTGTCCGTGACAGTCCTTGAGCCGAGGGCATCGTTAGCAGCGAGGAAAGATCGTTTGATTTTACGTTTTAAGTCCATTTTAGCAAGAGAAATTGGCCACTAAATTGAAGAACAGTACAGTCCCTGTTCAAGATGTTACCCATGAATCTTTGCCATATGCCACAGGCAACCCAAGCTCGAATGCGGACTCATCCTTTCTTAACGGTCAGCGTTTGTACGGTAGGTACGTCCTGTATGCGGATACATAGTGTACCGGCACGAATCCAGTGAAATATGCCGGGGGGTGGGGGAGGGGAGGGGTATTCCCAGAAAAATTGGGTCGGGGTGTGAGCGCCGCTTCCCAAAACCCTTACCTTATTTATGACCAAAATCTGCGAATTTCGCTACCCAATTTATGACCTGACCAAAAATTTTGATATCCTATTAATGATCGTTGCGGCTGGCACAGTTGTCCTAAACATAATTTATGAAGGGCTTTTGTTGATGGTCTTATCGATAATGATGAAAAAGAAGCTTCTTCTAAAAAAACATACCCAGTTCAAGACAAGAGTGCAAACACCATACACTATTTATGACCAAAATGGCCAATTAAAATCGGTGCCCTATTATTGTTGACCAAAACGGCTGAAAAACTATACCCTTTAGAGCCGCACAAACCTATATAGCCCATATAAGGGAGCACCCGTACCCCCGGAGAAATATGTGTAGAAGCTGTGGTATGTGTAGACGTAGTTAGCGTACGGGAAAGAGGGAGGCAGTTGCCCCCTCCCTTATTAAGAAAAATGATTTTTTTTTAACTTTCTGGAGTGTAAAGTGTAGATAGTTCGAACTTTACGATGATTAGGCTAAGTTCACCTTTGCAACTTGGTAAGTAAGTACTTATACTTTGTTCGGAACAATCTTAACTTGGAAATTTAAGATGAATTGATAAGAAATGTTTTGAACGAAAATACAGCTGAAGAGATCTTTTACATAGACTAATCCCATTAGTTAACGATACACGTTTATTAAAGTAAAGCCGAGATATGTGTACATATATCAAGAAGTGTTTTGGTAGCCACGTAACAATGTAATGTGTCTATTTCTCGATCTAAAAACGTGAAAAGGAGAAAGACATTGTACAAACTGCGCAGCCGCGTATCCAGGTTTTTAACGGGTACAACTTCGAGTGGCCGGGTATTCTGCACTTACTCCAGATAATAAACTTCTTATTAACCTCGAACGTTCGGTTTTTACGGGACCATCTCAAACTTCGGCCTTGCCGTATTGACTTCGCTATCGCTCGGTCAATACGGCAAGCTCTCGGTCTGAGATTTTCCCGTAAAGACCTCACTCTCGGTTAATAAGTAGTAAGTAGCACTACTCTTCATACTTGCTTCATGTCTTAAGTTTTCATCTTTTAATTTCCTAAATTTTGATACACTTTATTTGAGAAATATAATCGGTTTGATCGCACTATAAATACATGTCATAATAAATAAGTAGGATTTTAAGTTTTCGAGGTAAAGAATGCGTCCCCACTTTGTCATGTTTGTCGTTTTGAAACCGTAATTTACCATTATATTTAAGAATTTTCATTGGTCATCATTATCATCATTTTATAGTTATTATCAGTCACTGAATGATAAAAGTTGAATTACCGCTTTGATCAGGGTGATCGGTTACATAACACATTTACGAATTGCCTCTTTGCAATATAATGTACTGCGTTGAAAATGTGAAATATAATTAATATCGCTATTATTTCCGAAACAACAAAAAAATTGTCTTATTTCCTCTAGTTTCATTTCAAGATGCCATTCCGAGCCTTCGATCTCAATATTTACAGCTGCATTTCCCATTTGCTACAACTTGGAAGAAATTTCCTCATAGTTTTCTTGAATGAAGTTGTCTGTTTCACTATTCGCATCTGAGTCCTCGCTGTTAGTACTTTTCGTGGTACTCAGTTCCTGCGCAAGTGGACTTAGCGAGGATGTGGAGGTAGAAGCTTTCCTCTGTTCAGCGGCTTCTTGTGTTTCTAATTCCTTTTGGAGAAACAATGGAACCGAGTTGCATCTCGACCGCCAAGCTGACTCCTGAGCATGCGCAGATGACCGAATCTGAATCTCCGGATTTGTAACAGTCAACCGCTGATTCATAACCACAGGCAAACTTAGAGTAGAAGCTCTGGGTTTTTCCCCTTTTAATCTTGCCACGCTTTTATGCAATAAATAAGGTGGCTGTGCTTTTGTAGCTTGATGTTCTATTACTTGAACAGCACTGAGCTCCGATCCTCTGCGATCACAACTGATAACCGTGAGAGTTGAGGAACATCTTGAGTCTTTCATTTCCGTCCCAGCTCGAAACTTTTTCGAAGGCGGTTTGCACAAGTGAAGAAACTTTTTGCACTTCGCGAAACATCCTGTCCATATCTGACGGCATTCTTTGTTCATCAATAAAAGGAAGAAGAACACAAGACAGAGGAAGCCAGGGGCTACAACATTGGTCAATGGCAGAATGGTGTTGTATCTCGGTGACTTGCAGTTCGTCGATGTCTAAAATTATGAATTAAAATTGAATAAGCGCAGGAAATGTCATCAGTGGCTGACCAATATGTGCTCGTTAGGGATGGGGGGAAGGAGGATCATTTACCTCAAAGTCCGTCATTGGCGACTGTAAAAATACAAGCAACTTTGCTAAGGTTAACGAAGTTGGACATGCACTCCCATGCACTCCCAAGGAGCTGGAAGCGGAGCCTACTTTGGCATTGGCTATCACAGATTTACTGGTAGCATTTACATCAAAACTGTACCGGTTATGGTATTTTACCCATTCAGCCACATTCATTCACTTTCAAAATAAGCTCCTGTTCCAGGTGATACGGTGTTCTGCTTTGCGTTTATCCAAGCTAGAAAAGCAGCGTACGTAGCTGGTGTAGATAGCAAAAGGCAGGGCGTAAAGGGAAATTTGGGCGTGAAACGCCAATTAATCATTTTCGCACTCTCGTTTTGGGCTGGAACTAGCTAGTTTGCAACTGGGCTAATGAGTGGAGGGGCCAATTCGTGGAGTCTTTTCAAACGCAAATAACATTCATCTCTTTTTAATGATATTCTACTCCATGAGCCTCCATTGCAAGCTAGTTCCAGTTCATTATCGAGAATACGAATATGGCCTAATGACCGACCGACTTCTATGTTTACCACGCAGGCTACTGTTGAATCGCAACTTTCATTATCAACAGAATTTTTTACGCTGATCTGTTTTAGAGTAATCTCACCTGTAGACAATAAAAGTAAACTTCAGCGTCATGCACAAACTGCCTGACACGGTATATCATCGTAGTGTTGACTGTCAAGACCACTCCCACCAACATCAACATTACAACAGCCATGCTCAAGAACTGTCGCTCAATTCGCCGCAAGGAAACTCTCTCCTCTCTGGCGCGGATTACACGTTTACTGTTGTTTAAACGAGCCTGTTGAAAATAAGTGATTAATAAACTGGTATTTTGAAAAAATCGATCAGCACATTGATCCTACCAAAGCTTGATGTACACATAATCACATTCAGTGCAAGCATAAGTACAAGAAACGTTCGTGTATAAATTAATTAGAACTGAGACGAGGTATAAGCGCATATACAGGGAAACGCATACATGAAGGCACAACAACAGCCAATCGTTTCTTTTTAAATTGTGCCAGCGTTCCTCCCTGTGTCGTTACTTTGCCCGTGTAAAACGGGAAATTCCACTGCAAAGACAGTCTTTTATCACGCCTTTCCCGTAACTCCTTAAGGATGGTTTACTCGTAGAACGCAAGCATAACTGAAATAATGATTACCTTGTACTAAAAAATTTTTGCACGTGTGAACATCTACGCGTACGTTGTAAACCAGCCTGGTTAGCTAATAATAAACGTGCACATTTTTTCTTAAGTTTTAATAACTGATTACAAACAGCCACTCAAAATCTTGACAAAGGATTCTAACTTGTAATGGCGACGAGCTGTTGCTGTGTTCTTTTATGGGGTCGCCGTGTATAATCAGCGTCAATGTGTTTGTGTCGTTCTATCGACTCATGTGTTAGGATATGACAGCGATGACCGGTGAGGGAAGGAAACGAAAAAGGCGTGTAAAAAGATCTATGCTGTGGAGGCTTGTGAACATGTTATCCAGGTATGTAGTTTAAAAACTATACTATTTTAATACCTTTCTAATATTCCACACAATAGACCACAACAAGCACAGTGACACTCCAAGCGAGATCTGCATGGGTAGCGTGACAGCAAAGTAAGCCATTTGAAGGCTTCCAGAACCTGCAGCCAAGTGATCTACAAAGAGAAACTTGTACCCAGGAGGCGCGATAAAGCGACAGCCAACCACAATGATTGCGGGCGCCAACCAGCACAGAACAGACTGTAAAAGGTGAAATTTGATTGGGTGTTTGAAGACGGCTCGTTTGTTGAGAACGATAACTGCATAAGTGTTGGCTATGAAACACATTGCCCAGAGAGAATTCGCCAGTCCAAAATAGTGAGACGTCGCACCTGTTGAAACAAAATATGTACTCGTCAATGCGTGGTGATTGTTTGAGAAAAGGTCACAAAACAGTGGCGTCGATCACTTTTTACATTTCGCCTCATTGGCATACGACTTAACACAGAAATGACATAATGCTAGATATGAACTGATTCCAAACAGTTGAAGAGCTTGTGAAACTTGCTACATGGTGATATGATTTACTCTTTGGTTTAAATATTAAAGAAGATAACCTCAAAATGTTTTGTGGCAAAAGCGATGAGTCCCAACATTCTTTGTAAAGTTTTGAGATTTTAAACCCACATCGTACAAATAGTATTGAATACATCGGGCTTCAACTTCTTGGGACAATTAAATGTGCTATGCCCTTTCAGTACTCAGAACTGATATTTTTGTAGCTCCATCAGAATTTTAATCACTTATGCTAATGAGGCAGATTTTGTAAACTTAGACTCCCTTGTACCCAGAGGTACTCAAAAAAGTTTTGATGGGGAGAAGATAACTAGGAGAGGGTGGTCGGGACGCATGGGACGCATTTAGGGTGGGCTATGGGAAAAGGGGCTCCCGATCCCAGATCCACCTCAGAAGGATCTAAGGAACCAAAATTGCTTAAATTTACGTTACGTTTATATATTGGTATGAGTGTACCTCCAATGTTGACCAAAAATTTGACTTACTTTAAAAGTGTGCTTTGTTTAAGTCAAAAACGCGATCAAGAAGAACCATCAAATGAGGTATACTGATATTTTGTAGACATGTTGCTATCCCATGAGATGCCCGTGTGGTCAGGGTTAATTCTAAACAAGTAGAACCGCTTGAAAACTGCAGTAAGTGTCACATTACCTTGCAGTACAGTCGCGAAAGAAGAATGACCTGTGGGTTGCCAATACAACTGTTTGCGACAGAAAACTTTGCCAAGTCCAATACGAACAGGAATCATCTTGCAGCAGGCTAAATGGAAGACAAATATTCGCACTTTAAAGTGAATTTTGTTCTTCACCTTCTTCATCTATTTTATATGTGCAAAGTGACACATAAGGTCTCTCCACTCTGCCGCCAACCGCTTCTGTCGACCGCTGCAATGCACACCTCGCTCCAGGCCTCCATCCAGCTATGTCATTCTCTTTTCCTTCTTTTGAAGGATTACTCTACATCTTGAGTCACGTTGGAGATTTCTCAGTCTACGGTTGACGTTTCAAGAGCTAGGTAGTGGAAGGCAACCCCGGCTCTCTAGTTTGCTCAATCTCTTGCTCTCACTAAGTTAGTAAGGAGCCAATTGTTTTCAATTTATTCATCTACATGCCAGTTGTACATTTGCAAAAGGTAGAGTTTTTATCCTAGTGACGTTAAAATCTGTTTGAGTATAAAAATAGCTATTACTAATTACTGCAGACTAATGTTTAAAGATAATTCAGCTTTTAAAACTGCCCAACGTCTCTTCCCAAAAAGGTAAGTAAGTAAGACTTTATTTTACGAGGGTAACATTTAACAGTAATAAAACTGGTAACCTAATGGCCCTCAAAAATAAAAATTTGAAAAAGAAAGAAATAGTCACAATCGTAACAATATCGCTGTGTAGGCGTTCTCCACCTCAAACTTCAATAACAATGTAGTTCATACTCACCAAGGCAAATGCAGCAGACCATGATGTGAAAACGCAAAACGTGGGGAAACGCGCGGCTGTAAAGATAAGAAAAATATCAAACAGGTTGTAACTTAGTTAAATGAAATTCGGAGCGTCTCCGGGAATTTTCAATTTATTGGGTAGTCTTCGGAAAACTTCGCTAGATGTTCGTTTTGTTTAGCACGTGTGAGCTATCAAAAAATACTCTTCATATATTGAATAGCAACACTTACAGGTTTTTAATGTTTGCCCACGTGATAAATGTTATGATTGTAGCGATTAGCGCCAACCACAAACCAACCACAACTGTGCCATAGTAGATCTTTTGTGTCAAAGCAGACTGTGTGGTCCAGGAACACGGCGGCAGACATTGGCCGGTTTCGTTATTGGGGACTAGGGGAGAGTTACACTCGAGTGTGGCTGTTGACAAAAAGGAAAGTCTAGAATACTGATCATTTTATTTCATCTTATCAAATCATATGGCANTGCTTTTCATATAAGCGTATATTTCCTCAGACGTACAGTAAATACAAATCAAGAAATTAAACAGCAAGATGAGAAGATCTTTGGATTGGCCGAAACTGACAGAAAATTTGCACCCTTTAAATGCGATATTAAATGGTTTACAACAAAACTTTGCGTGTTGGTTTCGTTTATTTTGCTCACACGAAATAAAATCCGCTTGCTCAACCTCGCTAAAAGAACGGAGCTAGAAAGAGTGATCTATATAAGCTTATTCCAGACTCTAAGCTTCTGGCGAACGAAGGCAGGAGTTAAAAACAAGACAGCTAAGAGAGAAATCTTTATCTACGGTGAGACGATATTATCTTTCTCGTTTGCACCCTTTGGCCTTTTCGAGCTTTGTTTATTAGAATCATGATAAACGTGATAGAGGGAGGTCTTACTAATTAAGAATATAAATTTGCCGTGGCTTTGTTCGGAAGCTTCATAAAAACCCATAGCGGAAGTCAGTAAGACTTATTCCTCGTTTCATCGTAGAAAAAATGTGTTTGCTTTTCATATAACGATAAAACGTATATTTCCTGAGACAATCGCTAAGCGGAGTAAAGCAAAACCAAAGCAAAGAGAAAACCTCTCCAATACATTTCTGTTGCCTTGAAATTAGCACAAAAAAGGGAGTGAATTTTCAGAAATAGCTCTGTTTATGCAATCCCTTGCAGCAATAACAGTTACCCCAAACATTCAGAGCTCTACACCTCAATTTTTTTTTAACAAAATCCGATATTTTAGCAGTGTACACTTTCAATATGATATTCCTGACGTAAACTGTTGCTGTACATTCATGGGAGTTCTCCGCCCCTATCCAACCCTCCAACCCTCCAACCCCGCGAAAAAAGAACAAAATACTCAGGAAGTTATGTCTCAGTAGTAGTCTACACGTAGTACAGGCTTTATCAAGACAGGATGGTAGATCATCCTCTCTTGGGGCTTCATGTAGACTCCGCTACTGAAGCACCGCGGAAAACAGTGAACAAAACTCGAGCAAATTGCTATTTTTTTCCAGTCTGCTCGCATGATAGTGTAATTAGCAAAGCTAACATTCAATTTCGTCACTTTCTAAAAATACCTCAAAAGGTAGCCCTAAAAATTTAAAAGAACTTGAAAATATTTGTAGATAATATCGTTAATCGATTTCGAAGCAGACATGTCGGCTTCAACCGAGTAAACAGAGATGGGCCAAAATTGATCTGGTTTCTGTTTCATCCCTATGTCAATTTTTATTCTCTCATATGTCGAACTCTCGATCTTCCGATGCCTCGTCCGGTTTAGACCAAAAAAAGAAAAAAATATCATTAAAACGGCATGTCGTCTATATTCCTTATAACGGTATGCAAAAGCTTCAAGTATACAACATTCATTAATGCATGTAGTAGCTTCACACGCAAGAGTTTTAACTTTTTAAAAAGCTTCGATCATTAAACTTGAAATAATCAATTGTAATTGGACCGAGTGGAGTTCAATTCGGCCTGTAATCTTACACTTGTGCTAACTAAAATCAATCGAGCATAGAACTCAGTATGGGTAATCACTGAACGAATTGGACGACACTGAATAGATGTCTCTGATCTCCCTTATCTGCTCCAGGCTCTCAGACTGCAGTAACAAACGGGCTCCAACATGAACAAGGAAACCGTGCCTCGACAGATAAATAAAAAGTTTACGAAGTTTCATACGTGACCAACATCACAGCATGCGGTGTCGATATTGAACAAGAGATCGATGAGAGCGTCCGTAAAATGGCGCACATTCTGTGAGCCTGAACCAACAGGCTTTCGATTTTCACCCATCCTCAACACTTTTGCCTTGGGAGAGTACTAAATAAATTGACCGTAACGATAAAGCCATACAAATTCCAAAAAACCATTTCAAAACAATAAATATAGACAAACAGTGACTTCGGCATTAGGAACGCCAGCTATGCAAGGATGATATGTGTACGTAAACCGAAGGATTTTGTTCGTTTACTTACTCATTTAAGTTGGTGTGTGGAGGATGATCCGGCTGAAGAATGTAAAATATCGTTGGCAGTGATACGGTGGTTACAACAACCAAATGTCCGACGTAGTAGAGCAATTTTCTCCGGGAAAGCGTCACTGGTTTACAGTACGTTCCTTTCTCATTCGATTCCATGTTAATCAACGGATCAGAAGCCGCTACTGCTGTCAAATCTGCTTCTAAATTACGAGAGTATACGAAGACAAGACGGAGATGTTTTAGACGTAAAGGTCAAGTGTAAAATACGTGAAACTAAAGATGTTGACGACCTGATCATGACTGCCTGTGTAATCTTATCCTATTTTTGATGACACATTTACACAAAGGTGTTCTGTTTAGACAGGGATGTCTGTTTTTGACAAGTAATGACAAGACATCCCGTGTGCCAAAAATTAAAGAGGAAACACTAGACTGAATCCTTACAAAGTTGTGACGCCAATCGACGAGAGAAAGACGAAATATATTGAATCAAAATGGAAAAGCGTTTATCAAAAATATTTTTACGGACAGGGTACTTCCGGTAAACCATTATCGTGCTAACCTTTTCGCGCGTACAAACACACACGCTTGCAATATCCCTTCCCCTGGACTCCCCAAGCAACTTGGTCAATCACTTCTTTTTCGACTGAATGATTTCAGCCTTTTCTTAAAAGCAAGTAAACATTCTCTTGTACGGTCATTTACATGTTTAATTTGACCCGGTTTCAGTGTACACAGTTTGACTGAGAAATCATGTTATATCTGATCTGAAATAAGCCTGGCATTTTAATACACACGACACGGGGTGTAGTACATTTGTAATTCAGAACTTCTGTTTATACAATACTAGATGAATTCTCAGTGGTTTTCACTGATAAGAATTTTTTATTACTTTCTCTTAACTGGCAATAAGAAGAACAAATAAGAAGATTATCATTATCTTACGAAAATATGAATAAGAAATTAAGGAGGCTTGCATCTTCGAAAAGCACCATTTCACCCTAGTAACTTCATTTTCGTTTGACTTAAAAACCGCCCGGTAGATTTTTTTAAAATGGGTTTCTACAAGCAGCCAAACTACCATACTTCAAAATGCTATCCACACTACATGTACTAAAGCTGATGAAAATATTCTGATCAGATTCCGAGAAATGAAATCAGCTGCATCTCACTAAGCGTTGTTGAACTTTCCGGATGGCAAAAATCGAAGGTTCCCTCTGATCAAATTGTTGTTTTCAAAACTCTCATCTCAAGTATAGAAAACTACAGTAATCTCCTGAAGATCTTGATATGCCAAAGAAATACTTTGAATGCCATTAAAACCACAATACATTGGACCTTTCTTCGCTAGCTCGTGATCTTAGCTTGTTCCAACATTGCATGCTGAAATCATTTTAAATACACAATGCAAAGTGACTTTTGTCAGACATGTAACACTGAATTTGTCATTCAGTTTTAAAAGAACTGAAATTGTCCTCCATATAAAAATGATTTTTTCGCTAAAACTCGTTAACAAAGAGATTTCTGCCCAACTTTAGATTTTCCCTTGCGGTGGTTGACTCG